GGACATTAGACTATCCACCCTTAGCAAAGTTTCCTGAAAAGTTCTTTGAAATCACCACAGACCTCGCCACACCCTGGGATGCATCTCTTGAAAATGGGTACCACACAAGAATGGCCAAACTCACATACTGCAACTAGGAAAATAAAGAAGAGAAAAACATGCAGGACCAAACCTTCATTTGTATTTCATCAGTCACCACAGAGAATTCAATGGGCAGTAGTCTACAAAGGGAGATAAGTACATGAAATTTACCTCACTAAAGTCCAGAAGTAGAAACCTTAAAAAAGTTTTAAATGTTGCATTTGCTATCACCATAAGACTTACCAAATATTTCTTAGTTTCAGCCAAAGGAGACTTTCAGTCTAATTTTCCCAAGGCCTGTTTTGGATTCCAGCTCCCCACAAAATGTAACTTTGGGTTGTAAGGCCTGCAGAGGGCTTTGCAAGGAACATAATATGTTGCATTGTTTAGAAAATCAGATAAGAAAGGTCACTTTTCTTCCTGGCCAGAACAAGCTATTGGCTGTGAAGAATTAGGCATTGGAGCCCTGAGGCCACAAGGCCAATGCATTTAGGGTGAGGGAAGTTAAAGAAACAGAAACACTCAGCACTTGAGAAAGTGTGCTTTTCTTTTTATAAAAGCAAACGGAGTTGTTATGTCACATGATCACCCTGAAGGTTATTTGGCCACATGCATTTGGGGTTAAGCACAAGTTTTAAAAGGAAAGGAGGCTCTCCTATGGCCGGGGTTGTATTTCCTGTGTGCACTATTTTAAATAGAAACATTACACACAGAAGCCAGAAGACGATGGTACCAGTGAAACAATACCAGCTTGGAAATCGATGGTAACTGGTTTACATTATGTGAGTGAGAGGTCATTATTTAAATGTATCTCTCTCTTTTTCTTTAAATCCACAGCCTCTTGGTCTCCAGCCTTCCAGTGGGTCCGTGGTCATTATTCTTTGGCTGTTTTAAAATTATAAACGTGGTGGAGGAGAGCCAACTGGAGTCTCAGAGTCCGACCAGCTAATGGAAAGCCTTTGTTGCAAGGACGTCATTCATAAAGATCAAGTGTGTCATAAATCACATGTGGGGCTGTGGTTGTAAGAACAAGAGAAATGGTTGGAATTCCGTCTCTCTGGTTCTTCTACTGAGATGAGGATCTGTTCTGCAAAATGATCGCTTCAGGGGCTTTCCTAAGTGTCAGGGGAGCATTAAAAACCAACATCTTTCCATTATCAGGGAGTGGAATTGCAAAATGAGGAACTGTGCAGTTGAAATCCAAAGCATTTGTGCAGTTATTCTGGAAGTATGAAAAAATGTCAAATTATCCAAAGGTAGTTATATCTCCTTTGGGCTCCAGCTCCAAAAGAATGGCTTTGAGATCCAATGAAGAGGCTATTTATCAGTTGTGACAGTGTTGTCCCTCTATCTACATTCTATAAAAGAAAAGGCCCATGACAAATTTGTTTGAAGTCTAAATGTAAACACCCATGAAGAATACATTCATGATGGGAAACCTGGAAAATTTTTAAAGCTTTCTTTGTAGAGGGCAGCTGTATTCATTAGTAGTTGGTAGATAGTGTGGTTAGAAGATTGGAGAAGAAGGAAGTACCAATTACTGGTTAATCTTTGTAATTAGAAACCCTCTTCCTTGTATCTATTGTGTGACTATCTGGAAATGAGTTTAATAAGACATGTGGGTCTCTGAAAAATCATGAGGATAGTTGCCCCTGACTATAGGGAAACAGGGGTTAAAAGCCTTCCTATCACACTTTCTCATGGCTTTCATCGTTTAGTTTACTGTCACTGTGGGCAGAAAATTTCACAGCCACAACCCTGATAAAATTTGAGGTTTCAAAGAACCCAACCTTAATGGGTTTACAAGTAAAATCAGTTTCTTGGCAATTTTAATGGCTACCTAATCAATCTTATTTGGACTACCTACTTAAATTACTGACATAGTCTGGTTTTTAATAAAAGGACATGGTAAGTTGGGAAACCTCAATTATTTTGACCATTCCCATCCTAAGTTCATACCAATTAGAATGATACAAAAGAAGCAGCCATGCTAGCTGAAGAATCCAAGGATCATTGAGGGAGGGAGCTGCTGTCATCCTCTCCCTAAGCTAGATTCAGGGGAAATCATGATTGCAGGTTCACAGGTGTATGGCGTGCTATTGCATAGGCTGTTTGGGAGAACAGTCAAAATGCTCTGAGGCTCGTAGAATTTGTCCAAGAAATGATGCTTCAGTGTTGTTTTCACAGAATGTCCTCATCCTTTAAAAATGAGAGGGAGAGAGAGAGAGAGAGAGAGAGAGAGAGAGAGAGAGAGAGAGAGAGAATGTACATAGGGATTGGATTAATCTATGAGATGACTTTGGAACAAAACAGAATCTGCTATTTCCATATGACTAACTCAAGGTTCACCTACAGTAGAAATTGTTTCATTCACATTATCAAATGCTGTCTCCCTAAGTGGGCTCCATGTATGCTGCTTTGGATGATCAAATGCTTCATGGATGGCTTCTGATGCTCACCTTGTCTGAGTTATAAAATCCATCTCAATGGTATTCTTTGAGAGCAGTCTCTGAGCTCGATCTCTCTCTCCATATGGTGATGAAAATGAATGCCTTCTTTGGTGGGCTCCGTGAGGGCAAGACCCGCAGTACCAGCCAGTGCCAGGAATACAGTAGGTTCTTAGTCAATACCTGTTGGATGAATGGATGAATATTTCCACTCTTTCTATATTCCCCTTTCTGCCCTCCAACTCATTACATGCTGCTATAGTTGTTTGATCAGAGTTCCATTTAGAATACGGGTACTATATCTTATTCACCCAGCTTCTATCATAGTACCTGGTCAATTAACCTTTGTTAAAGGAGTTGAGGTTGCTGAGTACCACATGCTCCTTCAAAAGAAAATGATTACCACTCCCTGGGACTTCTTTGTTCATGAAGAATAATGTCAATTTTCAATCATTATCATATGTTCATCATCACATGGGCAAGGATTGAATTCAGACACACTGATCTCATCAGTATAAAATTCAGTAGCTCGTTGACTGTAAGAAGAAACATTCCACAATATGGAAATGACTAGGTTTGGAAATATTTAGGTCAAGGATTTTTTTTTAAATGATTCTTCATGGCTGTCCTTTGGAACCTAGATGTTGCTGATTGCTGACCTCGAAGCAACAATTCAGAGTTTCAAGGTAGCCTTCCTGGGTAGTTCATGAAACTGGCACCCTAGATGCAGGTATTTCCTGGGGTAGTTCTGCTGGAGATGCCACAAATGCGCTGTTGACAGGCAGAGACTGTGTCACATCTAGTTCTCAAATGAAGAGGTTCTGTTCATCCATGTGGTTTCAGATGCAAACTGATCTGCTGACTTGAGAGGAAAAAAAGGCTTTACAAAATGGACCCGTGGCTTTAGGAGACGATGATGCACTCAAAGGAAAAAGGAGGACTAGTCACCAGGGCGCATTCCTGGATCGGGTGTTCCAGTCTGAGTGTCTTCCTCATGTGAACAGCTTTGCCCACCTGGTGGTCATCTTAATGAAACCCTCCTGAGCTGCTTTTTGTTCAGGCAAGTCTCAGTGACAGCCATCAGCATCCACTGTCCCTCTCCTTCCTGGAGCAGTAAGGACCACTTGTGTACGAATCAAAAAGAAACCATTTGGCTAGCAGCACCTGGAAAACCAATTTGTTTCACAGATTTTCTGCATGAATGTTTTCACTGCAATATTTACCTAGTCTTTAAATAGTCTCTCTCCCTCTTCTACTGTCTATTCAGCATCTCACCAAATTAACTTGTCTGAACTAACCATAATTGCCAGCTATTGAACAAATGCACCACGTTTGGTGACTTCTCTTTGAAAAGTTAGACACAGTAAAAGCAATGTTTTACTTTTCCCCTTAAAATACTCAAGCATGCTCCTGGATACCAAACTTCTTGAAAACATTTTCTAATTCTGAACAATTGTAAATGTAAAGGACAAATGCATTTAATTTACTGCTGGCCTTATTCTGGGACCTTAATAAGATTGCCTGATAAGATTAAGGGCTACTTCAAGTTAATGCTTTGAATGTTAACAGTCCTATTGGTTTAAATGGGAGTCATTAAGCAGCTGACATAGGGTGATAAGAAGGTTGAGAATAAGTAGATTTAAAATTGATATCTCTTAAAACCTTTTTACTTGCTAACGATGAAATTTGCCTTTCATCTCTCAGTACTTGCTTTCTGCCATATTGATCTCTCAGATCTAAGGGTTTGGGTGCTTAGAGGTTTGGCATTTCTCTTTTTCCAACTGATTGATATTTTTCCCTTTTAGATCAAGTTGCCATATTATCCTTCCAGGTGTTAATGCTCTAAGACTTTAAAGAATTTTTTTTAACTTATAACAACTAATGGTCAACATAATTTTGAAGATGTTTTCAATGTTTGTGACTGGTGCCAGGAGAATAACATTTAGGTGCACAGTTACTTATCCATACTTCTGAAATCTAGAAAGATCTGAAAAAATAGAAGTTTTTTTTTACATTATTTTTTTTGCACAAATTAATTTGGTGACAGAACCTGACCTGAAGGGATGCAAGCTATTTAGAGTTTGCAATAATCTTATGCAGAAATATTAGCATGTTTGAATAAGGGTGCTGTGCCAGAGTCTGCCAGGGCTGTTACAAAATATGCCAGATAACTTCCTAAAATATGAAAAATTATGAATTCCAAAATACATCTGGCTGCAAGTGTGGGTTAAGGAATGAAGATCTGAATTAAACTGGGAAGGTAAAGACTTTTCACTTACTTGCTAATTTTCAGCCAAAGTCACTGAGCCAAGGGAAATGACAAAACCGTGGATGCAACTTTACAGGGACAACAGCTGCAGTGACCTGGCTTGCTCTTCACTTCAACAGAAGGCAAGTTTCTTGCTCACTTTTGAGTGTCCCATCTGAACATCATGCTCCTCTAGCCAGGATAGTAAATGAGGCTTGACCCGATTACCAACATATTGCTTTATTTCTTGGTGGTAGTAAATTAAGGCTTTCTAGATTCATACAGCACGCAGTGATTTGAACATTAGAATTAAAAAAACAACAACAACAATGAGCATTCAATTTAGCAGAGGCAGGAAGGAAGCAGTTTTAAAACAGATAAATTTCCTATGAGGCCTTTTGTTTGGTCTCTAAAAATCTGCTGAGCTATTTCCCCAGTAACCTTTGTCATGGATTCACACCCTAAGGGGAAGCAGAATGGAAAAGAAGGTTGAGAAAAAGGGAGAAACTGGGAAAGACAGTATGTGCTGGGCAGTCAGTATGGAAGTTGGTTTTGTCTCATGTTTGGAAGACAGTTTTGATGATGTGGTTAGGTGGTGGTGATAAAAATATTTGTATTGTGACTCCCCTTCTCTGGTTCAGGGAACCATTTTGGATCTCCCGTCTCATTCTGGGAGTATGAAAACAGCTCACTTGGAAGACCCCAGTGCCATGGGTTAGAAACAATCCTTTGTGACTCAAATTCTGAAACGTTAGACAAGGTCACAAGTCACAGAGCAGGGGAATGCTATCTTCAACCCCTTTTATGGTGCTAAGCTCTATGGCTATCACTAGATACTATCCCCAGCCAAACAATTCATCCCCCCTCGTGGCCTTGATTGCATATCTAAGTTGTTGAGGATGTTGACTGGAGAGAAGACACCACCTCACTCTATCTCTTTCCCAACATAAGACAAAGGAAAGCAGGGAGCCTACAGTGGGAGTGCAGTTGTCGAGTGGTGTGTAAGCTCAGTCTGAGACAAATTCCACATGCTTGCCCTGGAGATGCAGAGATTCTGGGTTTGGATGGTGGACGCTTTCAGAAAGAAAGGATGAATGGTTTGAACAGTGATGAAGGAGGGGCACGGCCAGAGAACAATTTGGGAAAGGTCATGTGTTTATTAACAAAAGGCAACTCAATTACATGAAAATAAGCAATGGAATTTCTTCTGGCATCCTGATTTCACATGAACGAGGCTAGCAAATGGATTTCTATCCAAATAGGACCATTTAAAATTTATACTTGGCAGTTATTTTAATGTTCTATTCCAAGGGCCTGGCTGGTGAGCCAGCGCCAAAAGCCTTATCAGTGTGTCCCCTCTTAATCTGTCTGGCATTTTCGAGTGAACAGTATCTGAACACCTGGAAGCCTGCCCTGCATTCTTCGACAAAGAACATGCAGACAGCCACAGGGGAAGGCACACGAGGTGGCAATCTGCACAACGAAACACTGTGACTTAACCCCAGCAGGCTTCATGTGATGAAGTCTGGACGCACAAAGAAATAAATAGATGAGAAAAGGAGAAATGTGATCTGCATGACAACGCACCGAGGTGTCTGTTCCTGCCAGCTGCAGGGCAGATGTGCCTGATGCAGGCCACATGTGCACTGCAGGACATGTGCTCTTTGGGGCCTTGCTTGTTAGTTAAAAACGGTGAGGGTCTTTCCTCCATTAGAAAACTCTCCGTTTGAAAGATCAACTTGACTGGGGGATGTGGGCTTTGCTGTGGTTAGGAATTTCTTGGTGGTAGGGGTGGGCTGATCTAGCAGGGTGGGAGAAGATGCCCAGGAGACTCACCCATCCAAAGAAACAGGGATGGGGTAATACTCAGAATGGAGTGAAGGGCACAGAGGACACTGGTGTTGGCATTTCTGAATCTCCCGAAAGCATCCATAGAACTTACACTCTTGGTAGAGGTAGTAGATGCCTCTTGTGCTCTAGGCCACAGTACTTCTGTTCATTGACATCTCAGTTCCCTCAGTCCTAAACTGGGCATGAAGCCAATCCTGGAGCTGGATGGCCTCTCGTTTAGTGCTGGCAGCCGAAGCCCAGAGCGGTCAAATGCTTTGCCTGAGATCACAGAGCTCATTGGCAGCAGAGCCGGGGGCAAATGCAGGTCTCTCCTCCTGCACCATGCTGCTTGATGCAAGAGATTCTCTAAACAGGTTTGCAAGTACTTTACATACACCAGGCGCTGTGGCATGGATTTAACAAGAATTTGCTTGGGTGTGGGATTGAAGAGTGTGGCTTAGGCCAATCAAGCAGTTTAAGGGGGAGGGGGTGAGGAGAGCATCATTATCCCGATAATGTGTTATGGAGAAGTGAGGAAATGAGGGATGGGGGTGTAGGCCCCTGGAAATGTGATCAGGAGGAGACAGAGGCAGAAGGGGATGTTTCCAAAGCCACTGAATCAGCTTTCTGAGGTACGTCTTTTGTGAGCACAGAAACTTGCTGCAAACTACCTGCCCTGACCAACAAAACCGTTTACTGCAACAGACCTTTGTCCCGCCCACCCCACCCCCTTCCTTTCCATGACCTCGGCTGCCCCCGAGACAGTAGAAGAAAACAAAAGCCAGATGCCTAAGAACCTTCCTGGAAGAAAGAGCTGTTACGAGTGGGTGTCGGTGCTTACATAGGCTGCTTTAAAAACACACAGTTCCTTTTGTTCATGGCTGTAGGAAAACAGCGGCGGCCGGAAGCTGTCCCTTCAGAAGAAGGCAGGGTTGGTGTGCTCGATGACGCAGCGCTTGCAGTGACGTTTCACGAAGCGCAGCGCCTCCACCGACACCTCGCAGTCCTGGACGTTGAGCAGCTGGAGGTCGAAGCAGTTGGCCGCCACGATCTGCAGCCCTTGGCCCGTGATGCTCTCGCAGGACTTGAGGCTGAGCCGCTTGAGGTTGAAGCAGTTCAGGGCCAGGCACTCCAGGCCCGTGTCCGAGACCAGAGGGCACTTGCCGATGTCCAGGGACTTGAGCTTGGCGCAGTTCTTGGCGAGGTACTCCACGCCGTGGTCCGTGATGCCCTCGCAGCCCCGCGCGTTGAGGTAGCGCAGCTTGCTGCAGTACTTGGCCACGTAGCGGATGCCCACGTCGGTGACCCGGCCGCAGTGCGCGATGCTGAGGTACCGCAGGCGCGACTCCAGCTTGGCGATCTCCCGCAGGCCGAAGTCGCTGACGAAGCGGCAGTCGCTGACGCTCAGCTCCTTGATGGACGGGCAGTAGATCATCAGGTAGCGCAGGCCCTCGTCGGTGAGGCGGACGCAGCGGCGCAGGTACAGGTGGGTCAGCTGCGTGCAGTGCGCCGCGATGGTGTGCAGGCCCTCGTCCTCCAGCACGAAGCAGTCCGTCATGTCCAGGTAGCGGATGGAAATCTGTTTGCCATGCAAGGGGGACAGTTTAATGGAGGCCTCCCGGGTCAAGCTGATGCAGGTCACTTTGGAGCACCCTACACAGAGAGACAGAACACATGCTCAGAGCAACCGTGGGGAATGGAGGGGTGGGGTTGGAGAAGAGGGGCTGCCCTGGGTGGGGATGTCACAGGTTCCTGCCCTCCCCAGCCCGATCCCCTTCCCTACTGGGCCCCTGCAGAGAAGGAAAGCAAGGATGGATTCTCCCTGTTCATTGATTTTTTACAAAAACTATTTTGATTATTTGAGTTTAAGGGGGTTCCCAGGCTTTAGAATCAGAAAGGCCATGGTTACAATTCCAGATCCATCCCTAGTTGGCAGACATTGGGCAAATCAAGCCCTTTGAGTATTTCCTTCATCTTAAAATGGGGATGTTGACGTTCCCTGAAAGGTGGCTGTGAAGAAGAAATGAGACCGTGTAAATACCTGGCCCTGGTCCTGGAAGCTCAGTAAAGGTTGGTTACTTCTTCCCTGTAATGGTCTGGTAGCTCTCTGGTCCAAAGAAGTGTGATATGTGAGAGAAGGTTTGGTCCCGACCTCAGGTTGGCTAAAAGAGCTCTGACTGGGAGTCACACATGGTTCAAGTCTGTTTCTTACGGCTTCAGGCAAGAGGCCTAACTTTTCTATCTCAAGACTCTCCTTACAATACAGGAATGAACAGGTGGTGTGCCTCCAATATACGGAGATAATGAGGATGCAGCCAGATAATGGATAGGGACATACTCTGAAAACTCTATGGGAAATACAGGTAGTTATTAGTCCAACAAGGTGACCATCTGGGGATTCAATTCAATCCTCTTAGGTGAAGGAAGAGTAATCATGTCATCTGGATTATTGTTCTAGCCTCTCAAACAGTCTCCCTGCCCTGCCTCACCCCAGACCTTCTAGTCACTTCACAGCTGCCAGAAAAATTATAGAAAACAGAACTGTAATCATTGCCCTGACAGGTTTGGCTCAGGGTATAGAGCGTTGGCCTGCGGACTGAAGGGTCCCAGGTTCGATTCCAGTCAAGGGCATGTACCTTGGTTGCGGGCACATCCCCAGTAGGGGGTGTGCAGGAGGCAGCTTATCGATGTTTCTCTCTCATCGATGTTTCTAACTCTCTATCCCTCTCCCTTCCTCTCTGTAAAAAATCAATAAAATATATTTAAACAAAAAGACAGAACTGCAATCATGTCACTCTGCTCAAAGCTTCTGAATGGCACCCAGACCCCAGAGTAAAATATACGTCTAAGGGGCCTCAAGGACGTGCGCCTGGTGCACTCTGAGCATGGCTCTTACTCCTTCGACCCCACTGGCCTCCTTGCAGACCTGTAACATTCCCTCCTGCCTCAGGTCCGCGCACTGGACTGGGCTCCCCCAGATCTCCATGGGCCCATACCACTTCCTTAGGTCTCTCAGCACATGTCAGTTTACTGGACAATTCTTCCCTAATTACCCTGTGTGAGCCAGTATCCCCTGCCTGGCTCCCATTCATTTGCAGCGCTCTGTCTCTCTCACTTCGTGGGATTATCTATAAGTGTTTGCTGTCCCACTCTGGAATGTCAGCTCCTGAGAAAAGGGACTCTGGGCTGTTCATTGCTGTTTCCCTCACACCTGGATCACACTAAGCATCTGTAGAATGAATGAATGAATGAATGACCTATAGAGTGAATAGAGTCTTCTATAGGAAGATCAGGTAGAAGAATCCAATTTCCAACATTTAAGTGTCCTCAAAACTTCAACCCTGGCTGATGTATATTCACATTGTAAAACAGTTGCCTATATTTTATTATAATGCCTTTCATTTGCGTTGAATTATGAAGTTTACGAAGTGTTTTTATAAACCATTTCTTACCTGATTTTTAAAACAGTCCATTTTACAGATATGGAAATTTAAGTTCAGGAAGATATCTTTAGATGCCTGTCTAAGCATTATTTCTAACCCCTTTCCCAAGAACATGCATGTGTATGTATTATATTCATATTTACACTATATATCATATAATTATCATATACTTACATAATATATGAAACACTTATTTCATTGTGTAATTAAGCTCACTATACATTACCATGTAAATGTTCACAGTGTATTTTTAGTGTGTAAGTATAAATAATTGGTATGCATAGTCTCTATATTATATAAATAAATGCATATGTAGATAGAGTTTATTATACTACATAGACTGCTCACTTTCTCTCTGCTCTACCCGAATCCCTCTGGCATGTCTTAAGCCAGGTGCCTCACCTCGGGCACCTCTGTGTTTCTCCCTTATATCCAAGGCTTCCAAGCAGCTACACAAGAGTACTAGCTGGGACTTTCCTCCCACTTTTTGGCAGGCTGCCCAGGAAATGCGTGTAGAATTCAGGTCCTGGGAATAACATGGCTCAAAAGCCACGTGCTACCAAGTCAAAGAATCTCAGGAAGGAGTAAAGCATACAATGCAGCCCTGGAGAACAAAGATGCGACTCATCAGAGGCAGCCCATGCTGCTCCAGTGGGCTCCGTGGTTGGTACCCCTGAACTTTGGCTTTGAAATCTTCCTTTGTTTTGAGTTTCTTTTTCTAGGTTGACTGTAATCCTGCTTATACTGAATTTATGTATCCACTGTAGTGGCTGCCCATCTCTGATGCCTGGGAAGGTACTTTGTTTTTCAAGAGTACATGACAAACTTTGTTCCATATATATTTAAAATATCTAGCAAAATCCAGGAAAGATACTGTATTTGGTTCAGGGAAATTTAGGCATTGTTTTTGAAAATTAGTTTCAAATTTAATGAAATGCCAGTTTAGCTCAGTTTTGGTAAATAAACTATTGTGATATGCTTATATTACTTTAGATCAATACTTTTTAATTTTAATGTTAGCCTTAATTTTTACAGATCTGTGAAGCTGGGTTGAAAAGAAACTGGTCCATCGCTCCATAGGTGATATCTATGGCTATTTCATGCAGTCATACATTACAGACATAGCGAGAACCTTAGAAATCATCCTATATAACCTTCGTTTTTAAAAGTGGGGGCATCTCAGGCTCAGTGAGAGTGTTACTTGTACAGCCAGACTAGGGCAAAGTTTCTCGACTCCTGATCCACTGTTGGTTCTGTTTCTCTGGAGAACCCTGACTAAACATTTATAAAAGGTGATATGTGATAATTAAGAAAATATTACAGCTGGTTATAGTTATTTTCAATGACTTGAAAAGATAACTTTCAAGGTGGGCATTTTTGATTGCTGGGGATGGGAGAGGAAGTCTCTCATGTCCTCAGGGGGAATTAAGATTTAGACCAGCAATGAGTCTTCCACAGTCAAGCTTATTGCCTTTGAGAAGGTGGCCACTGTCAGAGGCCAGCTGTAAGAACCAAGGAGAACAAGACATAGATGAGATCACCTCTGGCAGTCCTCCGGCTGTCCCCGCTATCAATATAGCAATTCCCAGATTCTCTCAGAAATGGAGGGCACCTCTGTGATAACAAATTCATCCTTATGGCTTGTTGGATCTTTCAAGTCCATATACCTGAAAAGCACCCCTCCCCGCCCCCCGCGTCCCCGCTAGTAGCTGAAATTCTGTATTTTGGCAAGTTACAGATTCCCCTTGTTATGGACTCTATGTACACCAAGCATGTCAAACTCGTGGCCCGCGGGCCACATGTGGCCCACAACGAATATTTTTGCAGCACAGCCAATATAACGGTGTGAGCAGTTATTTACAATTATGAAAGGAAATAAGTCTCCTGCCAGATCCAGAATTACTGACATTCACCTTGGGTCAGTTTTGAAAGTAATCACTGTGAACAAGATTTCCCCCGAAGTAGGAAAGATAGTAGCAGAGAAGAGATGCCAAGTGTCAGGGAGAAAACATTAATTTTATCATTATTCTTGTTCTTTTTTTTATACTATACTTTTCAAAATAAACCTACGTTTCTATGAATATTGAAGCTTTTGTTTTTTTACAGCCCACATAAACTTAAACCTTGTTTATTTGGCCCATGTTAGCCTTTGAGTTTGACGTGCTTGATGTACACATATCACAGGAGGGCTTTGGGAGACATATGAGGCCCTATACAAATATATATGGACTTCTAAAAAGTCAGATTACTATAGAGGAAGGGCATTACGACTTACATACCAGTTAGTCAAAGGGGCTAAGCAGGACCCACTCACTAGGCTAGAAGCCCAGGTATTTCCATTCTCAACTAGCCAAAGTAGTTTTTGCATTGAATTTCAACAGGACTCCAAAAGAGAGGGCACAATTGCTTGCGGCCTGTATCAGAGTTGTATGGGGAGTCCCTTCAATGAAGATGGGGATTCCAAAAAGAAATAATTTTCTAATTGGAGGAAGGAAAAGAAAATGAGGTGTTTATAAAAGAGGCCCACAATGCCCAGAATCTTAGAATGTTAGAGTCCAATCCCTTGTCTTTTTTTTTTTTTTAAACTGAAGAGGAAAGACATCTAGAGGAAGCTGCGAATTGTCCCAAATCACAAGGTCTTCAAATTAGTTTCCACCACATCACAATGCTTTCTCTTTCCAGAATTCCTTGGAGGAAAAAATGTAAGAAAACCTCTCGGTTTCCTGCTTCATTATGCCAATGGCTGCTCAGGACTGAACATACGGTTACTATGGTTTTGTACTGACGCCAGCTGAAGCGGGGAGCAAACAGTCGCTTGCCAGCAAAGGAAAGAATCTGCAAAAAATAATTGACTGTCATCTGAAATATTTTCAGATGTCGGCTTTTGAAAGAGAGAGCAAACTGAGAGAACTGGCTTTTACCTCAGGGATTTTTTTTTTCAGGGTATCATTTACCTCAGATGCTTGTAAATCCCAAATTCTGTTTATTTGCTGGTCCCAGTGGTTTTTACTTCTTGACCCCTCCCCAACTATCCCTGAGGTTGTGGCTCCTGCTGTTCATTTCTTTTAACTCCCTGATGCATCTTACACACTTTAGCTTCTCGAATGTTCATCTTTTCACTGGGCAACAGATGAGATAAAGAGAGGCTGTTAGTCTGGCCGGATCCACATCTGGCGCCAAAGGGTGAGTCTGGGTTTTGATTCTTCCTGCCTGAAAGAGGTTTTTGAGCAAAGCAGCCATGCTGGGATTTCCCTCACTTTTTAAAAGAACTAAAGGCTCCACTCAATAGGCCTTACTTCTGCATTATGTATTTGAGGATTTTGCTTAAGAAAGATACAAAATCAACCCACAGGTGAGGAGACTTGGCGCGAATATAAGGAGACACTTGGCCAGGATGGGTTTTCTCCAATGTCTGCAAAATGGCAATCATGAGCACGGCCCACAGCACAGCTCTCAGGCTCAATAGAACACTAACCCAGGGACATAAGGACCTGTGCCTGTGATTGGACACTTGGTTCCCATGATCTATGGTTGCTCTGAAATAACTGGGAGTTATGGGGAGAACAGACATTGAAAAGTCATGCTAACTTGGAAGAGCCATACCAAAGATGCCTCTAGTTCTTCTAAGAAGTTGACATTATTGATGGAAGAGATACCCCTGGCCTCCAGCACCATTCTATAAAATAAAAGCCCAGCAACCGAAATGGCGGAATGACCAGAATGACCAGAGATCAGAATGACTGTGGTCCCTCGCCCTGGCTGACCCCTCCCCTCAGCAGGGACCTGCCACCCTGATCCAGGGTCCCCCATCAGGGCAGGCCGGCTGGCCCCCACCCGTGCACCAGGCCTCTATCCTATATAATAAAAGAGTAATATGCAAATTGACCCTAACAGTGGAATGACCAGAACGACTGCTTGACCATTGACCATTGACTTGGTCCCTTTCCCTGGCTGGCAGGCTCCGATTGCCTGATGGCAAATGGGGAACTGGGGTGGGTGGTGGTGGTGGTGGGGGCTGGGGAGCGGGAGGAACGGCTAACTTCTCAGTCCCTCCCCCCAGCCTGCAGGCTCTGATCACCTGATGGTGAATGGGGAACTGGGGGTGGGTGGCAGCGGGGCGGGGAGGGGAGGCAGGGCTGGCTGCGGGCAGCCAGGGAAGATGGCCCTGATCGCAGGCCAGACCTAGGGACCTACCTGCACACAATTTTCGTGCACCGGGTCTCTAGTGATTACATAAAGACAGTTTCTCTGGAAGTCAGCTCCTTCCCACCTACTCTCCATCTTTAATGGTTATCAAGAAGTGGCCCCTCCCAAGATGGCAGGTTGGCTGCCCTTTACCTGACACATCCAGGTGCTCCAGGTTCGGGCAGAGGGACACCACGTCAAACACGGCCTCGTTGGAGATGTTGTAACAGCCTGAGACTTCCAGGCGCCTGAGCTCCGGGCAGCACTGGGCGATGGTGTAGAGCCCTCTGTCCGTGAGCCGCCGGCAGCCACTGACAGTCACGGTTTCCAGCATGAGACAGACGTTGGGTGTGTCCTGGCACAGCCTGCGGGTCAGCACCTTGAGGGCGCGGTCCACGTTGATGGTCTCGCCCGTCAGGCGGATAGTCCTCCAGAGCCGCGGGTCCCAGGCCAGGTTGTACCAGCGGCGGCACACGCGGGCACAGCGGCACAGCTGGTTTGTGGGCAGGAAGGAGAAGATGTGGACCATGGAGTGGTCCGGGAGCCGCTCGATGCTGGCCTGCTCCTTCTGGGGCCTGGAGGCCAGCCGGATGAGCGGGTGGGTGAGGCGGGTGGGGGGCGGGTCGTGGACCATGGCCACTGTCTCCCCCGTGATGGAGGACGAGGAGGTGGATGAGCCCCTTCCATTCTGAAATCCCGGCAGGTTCGGTGGACATATCAGGGCTGGGCTGGGCGTGCTCAGGGTGCGCATGCTCAGGTCGGAGTCTGGCAAAGGACAGAGAGCAAAGGGTTAGTGACGGCCCCAGAGGAGCCCCAGGAGGCGGCAAATGTGGGGTGACCTCCTCATTCCACGGATCCCCATCCAGGGCAGACCCTGCTGAATCCATCACCAGAAGCAGAAGCTCATGCAAGGTTTAGTTTCAGAGAGGAGCTCATCTTCTGCACCAGGGATGGGCAAACTTTTCCCTAAGGGGCCAGATCTGAAATATTGGAGGCACTGCAGGCCATATGGGCCCCGTCTCTGTGGCAATTACTCAACCTCAGTGTTGTGCAAAAAGCTGCTATAAACAATATGTAAATAAATAGGCATGGAAGCGGCAATAAACTTTGTTTTTTAAGAACAAACCAGCTAGGTTTGGCCTAAGGGCCATAGTTGGCTGACCTCTGATCTACAATTAATGGTGAGTATCTAAAGGGCACAACTTCAAAGTTTCATTATTTCTATTCTGGAGGGACACTTCATATATTATGAACACGAACTGATTTAGTTTCCTAATTATATTTTGGTTAGGCAGAAAATATGCTTCATTTACAAATGAGGAGCATGAGTTTCAGAAAGGAAGTTGGGCCAGTGGGTGTAGAAAAAGTTTGCTCTCTTTGTCTCACCTGCCCCCTAGCATCTGCCCCCCCCCATATTTTGATAACTGAACCCCAAAGGAGAGGACCCAGGTCTGGGGAGCACCCCTTTCCTTTGTTAGATTTCAGGTTGGTACTTCTAAGCCTTGACTATACATGGCCATATTTATTTTTTCTTCTTATTAATAACCCCTTCCCTTTGCATTTAAATAATGTGAGTTAAATTTGTTCCTTGGAACCAAACAGATCACTTGATGAGGAAGACACAGTGGTGTTAAGTTTATGAGGAGTTATGTTCTTCAGAATACTACTATAAGGAGTCTGCTCATTTCATATCCCCCTATCTCAATCTAGATGTAGGAGAAAGAACTTATTCTCTACAAATATATCTGTATTATATATTTTGCATTATAATGGATATATTCATCTAGGAAGACATTTATTTTCTCTACTTATGTTTATATATTTTATATATTTTGCATGTGCACGCACACACGCATGCACGCGCACACACATGTGGAGCCTACCTTTAAAAGATTGAGATAGAGATAGATAGATAGATAGAGAGAGAGAGTAGTTTTTTTCTCCAAAATAGAAATTTCTTCATCTGAAATAGTGAGTTGGGCTAGATGATTTCATTTCAAAGTCATTTCCAGCTCCAATTATAGTTCTAAATACTTAAAAACTCTATTGTTGTGTGCCTTTCCACCTTAGGACTTTTCAAACACTCATTTTTTCAAATAACTTCCAGTAATAACATACAACACACAAAATTCTGACACCTACATCTCCACTGAGTGTCTATTTGCAGTTTTCATATGCATATACTTTTTGTACTGCAATAATTTTCTTCTGTTAGTTTACTGCTTTATAACCTAACACTGAAAATGTCCTTCACATGTCCACAACTTTGCTCAGGGAGCATCTTTGAATTACTGTCTTCTCTACCTCACTGCCTGCCCCTTGAAATCCAAACACCCTTTGAGACTGAGCACAAATGCCTTCCCCTCTAAGAACACTTTCCTGGTGTCTTTGGGACATAATCAATTCCTTTCCCTTTGAGTCCTCATAATATAGGTATCTGTGAACTTATCTTCCCCTAATGTGCTTGCATTGTATTAATTTCTCAATTTTGCATCCCTCCTATATCCCACATCCTTCGTCACGAGATTTTATAGCTCCTCTCAGGCAGAGTATCTCTAGTTTAGTGATGTTGGGCTTGGCTACATGACTTGCTTTGGCCAGTGAATTGCAGGGAAAGTGATGTGCCCAAAGCCATTGGTGTGGTTGGGCATGCCTGGCTAGTCCACTGATCTTAGGATGAGGAGAAACCAATGGAGCACACAGAACTGGCCCCAACCTGCTGCTGAGAGTCAAGCTCAACCAAGCCCTGCTGGGGGCAACCAATGCCCAGATGAAGCCACAGATGTGTGAGCTAAAATTGTGAGTTGTTACACAGCATCACTGCCTTTTATTACATTAAAAACTCCTTTGAAACCAGAATTAAATCATTTTATTATGTGTGCTTGGTAGTATCTGACATGGTTTATGGTGCATAGTAGGTGCACATAAATGTATTGATTTAAATGAAAATACTTATATGTTTAAAAAATATTACAATTTCTAGCTTGGCATGTACTTTTATATCCCAGGGGCATTTTAAATCATTCATAAGAAAAGAAATATGTATTTTTTCTCAAGATATCGTAAGGAACTCCCCCCCCCCCGCCAGCACTAAGTGGGGAAAGGGATACCTCAACTTCCCGAAAACCGAAAACATTATGACATTGTAATATAAACAAAGCAGAGAGAAAGAATATGGATTTAGAATATGAATTTGGAATATTTTGTAGGTATGAACTTATTTTCATATCTGAATACCCATTCCAAGTGAATTTCTACCTATCTGATGTCTTGAGGGTAAAATCTGCCTGTATCACTAAGGTGATATGTTTTGGGCTAAAACACAATTTGACAATAATTCTGAGAGGATATTATTGCTAATTTTAACACATTGTATACATTTATATAAAACTTAGCCATTATATTGTATCTTTCTTTACCTTCTCCCCTAGGCTAATGGTGAATGAAGGATAGTATATGGAAGGTCTCCATACTGCCAGACATTATTTTGAGCAGGGAAAATAACAGAACTTGCAATATGTGCTAAATGAAATATACATTTCCAAAAGCTTCTATCAAGAATTAAATTCATTGATGTCTGCATCAAGTGTCCTGAAAAATCTCAGAAGTAACTTGGTAACTTGACATGATGATCATGATGAAATGGCACATAGTAGTCTGTTTAACAGCTTCCTTGCCTGCTGCTTCTGTGGCATCCACATCACCACAGGAGCAGATATCACCCACAAAGCATTCTTGGCAAGAAACATTGCAAGGAGGTGTACACAGAAGGCTCTCAAACATTTATGTGAAGCTAAGATGCCCCTTGGAATGCCAGGAAAAGGAATACCCAAACTCTCAGGAGAGGAATACATCTTCATAACATAAAATATTTCCAAAATGTAAAAGGCAAGAGGCCTTGTTATTTACCAAGACCATTGTTTTCCCTGCAGACATTCTTTGAGCAAACGTGTTTTTTTTTCAAGAATAAGTACATGAATTGATAATGTAATCTTTTAAAGGTAGGTTCTACAGATTATTTTGTGATAGGATGGATGAGCACATGGAAGGATGGACAGAAAGATAGACAAAGCTATTAGAGGAAAAATTTGCAAAAAGGACATGTCTGGTTAATTACAAATATAAGGATTAGAAAAGAAGTTGCCAGTTATGAATGTGTAAGACTCAGAGAAAGATAGAGATAAACTTGCAAGTATCATGAAAACAGAATGGGAGAACTTAAAGGAGAAATGATCACACACTTCTTCAATAGGACATGAATTTTGTGTCTAACTGTGTCTCCTAATAATATTGAGAAGCTGGATATATTCAAAAGATAGAAATAGAACTACAACAAAAAAACACCCAACCACGTAGCACTGATATTTGTAGAAAAATATACAGATGGACTGCAAGGAATACACAGGAACAGAGACTGGGTGTTAAAATCCCTGGGCTGCTGCAGATTCTTAGAATACAGATTTATAGGCAGAAAAGAAAGTAATGATTCCTTCCTTCACTGAATCATTTAACACACATTGTTAATGCAGCCCGAATGCCCAGTAGGGGTCTAGGAAGGGAGGAGTTTTTGCACTTGACTAGATTATAAAGCAAATTTCTAGTCCACCTCCTTTCTGCATCCACCACAGTCCCATTAAAGTACATCCTCAGCCTAGACTCTGACCTCCCCAATCCTTTAGGGAGAGAGAAAAATGAGTCCATATTGAGAATGCATTCAAATTACCCAAAATCCAGGATGGTAAAGGATAGAAAAGTTTGTACATGTCTGGGAAAAAAGTCAGTTTTCCTAAGTGTCAGCTGGAGACAATGGATACAGAAGCTCCTGGTAGTGAAAAACATTGTAATTAAATCATATTTTTGTTGAGCTTTTGGATTTTCTCAAAAAGAGTATAATCTATAACACAATAGAGATTCTAAGTCAAATAAATATAATTATACTTTTATATTGATGTTTTCAACTGTTGTCTAAGAGATAGTTGATTCTTTAAATTTTAAGAGCTTGTGGCTTCATTAATAATAGAAAACATTTCCAAGTATGTAATTTACATGAGAACACTATGGTTTGTGTTCTTAAGTTACTTTTAAATATGTAAAGAATACCAAAAAGCATAGCTGTCTTTTTTCTGGGAGGAAAAAAATACCCTATAAACTCTTTTTCTCATGGTTTCGGAGTCCTGGAAATTTTACATCTTTAGTAATTACAGTATAGTAGAAAATATTCAAGGCATCTCATACACACATGCTTATTAGACACATTTTCTTCTAACTAGATAGCTGCCTGTTTTGTACAAGTTTTTATTTTCAAACCACTGCTGTTTACACTCTAGGAAGTCATATTTACATTACACTGGCCTTTCAAAGTCAAAATTTACAAAGCTACTCTGCGTGTTCCCCCTCTGATTACCAAAACTTTGGTGCAAGATGCTTTCTATTATAAATGGTCTTTCTACTCAAGAACTCTTGCCATAAAAAGCAAGGTTTCTTTTCTTAGCTTAAACTCAAGCTTTAAAAAAATACATCTATAAAACTCAGCGAGTGAAGAAAAATACCATCTGAAGGATCTTTTTTTTTCTTGTTTTATTTCAAAATATTTTTTCTTAATGTGGTTCACTTTATATACACACCTAGGACTTATTTCAGGAATTGGTTGCTATAAAGTGGAAATCTATATAGACCAGATTATCTTGCATTTTTCCTGGAGGATTTACCTTCGAGATTCCAGGGTTCTTGTTGGTAACACCACCCCAGGATCAGATTATGAATAA